GTAGAACTGGGTTTCGAAGGAGTCTAACTCGATCCCGTAATCTGGTTCCAGGACATATCCGGTCGACCGTGTCCTCGGCGGCTCTTCTTCCGGTCGTTTCCGGCGGAAGAGCGTTCCTCGAGGGGACAAAAGGACATTGATTTCGGATCAGGAGAGATTCGTTCGCCCGATTCCGCGGCGCAGGAGAAACGCAACAATGGACCAGATCCTCTTCTCTCTCTCTCTCTCTGTTCTCTCCTCTCCTCTCTCTCTCCGCTCCACCCTTTGTCGGAGTCAATCGACTTTTTTGTTCCGGCCGCGGTCTTTGCATTCCGGATCGCGCGGAACTGGTATCGTGCTTTTTGCCGGCGCGGCACGGTGTTTGCGTCGCATTTTTTTTTCAGTCGAAACGACGCGCCGATTCCGCTCGAGCGATCGGCGGACCGAAAATTCTCGCTCCCGTCGTTCGGCCGCGTTCAACGAGAACTCGATTCGCCGGAATTAATCGCGTTCGCCGCATCTTTTATTCGTCGACCAGCGCGCGCGCGCGCGTTAACAACGCTGTAACGCGATCCGCTTTATCGTTTATTAGAGTCGACGCTTGTGCACGGCGGACCGTGGGCAGAAATTTTGCAGCCGAATTCGACCGTCCCGTTGTGTCTGCCGTTGACAGCGCGATCGCGTCGCGCGCTCGATCGAAAAGAAAAAGAACCGTGGAAATCCGTCGCAGCGGCTCGCTGTGCGGGTTTCCGGATCGAGGTAATCCGCTCGAATCGAGCGACTCGGTAATTCCGGTCCCTCCGCGTGCATTAGGCTGAATTAGATCATTCTGTCGGCAGTTCGGAAGATGTACTTAAGGAGATATCGCTCGCGGGTGCAATCACAGATCGCGGAGCGATCCAGGCGAATATTTCACTCGGTTTAATTGAAATTCAAAGATGCCACTCTCGGAGGGTGACGAAGGGAGATCGAGGGAGATCGAAGGCGGAGAGCGACGGAAAGGGGTGCGACGCGCGCGGGGGGTAAATCGAGGAATATTTCCGCGGGAGCGGTGGCCGATGGAACGCCCGGCTCGACTCGGCTCGTACCGGCGCGGCGCGTTTCGACTCGGCGCAGCGGAAGCGGAATAATGCATCGTCAACGTCCAATTAAATTTGCTGACTGTTTCTTCCTCTCGCACGGCGAATCGGAGGATTCGAAGCGCCGCAGGAAATAGTCCGCGGAGTTTTCGGCGACGCTTGCCCGCGGTTCTCTCTCTCCGGACGAGTTTCGCGCGCCGCGTTCGCGGATTCTGTGTTTCCAGGAATGCATTCCATCCTCCGCCATCCAGTCTCGTCGAACATGTATTTAAACGCTCCGAGAGAGCAGACGGGAATTAATTACTTCGACAACGAAGGAAACAAGGGGATGGAAAATTAATGCCTTGCAACGGCGCGCCGGGAAATTCGTTTCGACGCCGGTGTTTTCCGATGCTTCGAGATATCCAGCGTCCATCCGCGTTCGATCCGTTTCGATTTCGAAACGTCGAGAAAGTCCAGCTAATTTTCCGTCCCGTCTCTATCGTTCCGTAAAATTCCGTCGAGTTCGCAATTTAAACGCGATTCGGATTCGCGGTGTAGCGAACTCTGCCAGGTCGCTCAAAGATAAGTACATAGAGACGCGTTGGAGAGATTTTCGACGGCTCTTTCGTTGGCCGCGTCTCCAACGGCCGAACAATGTCGGCGTCGGCGTCGGCGCCGGCGTCGGATCGGCTCTGGATTCGTCGGAGCCGTCGCAGGATTATTGGAACCGGTCCAAACTTCCGGCCGCCTCTGTAGAATTTTAATTACGCCGTGAGAAACGACAACAAAAGCGGCCGGCGTGCCCGGTACACGCGGTTTGCCCTTTTTCTCGCTCGCTCGTTCGCACGCTCGCACGCTTCCGAAAACCCCCTTCGGCTTGGAACACCGCTATTCTATTCTACCGCCAAATAGGACATCCGTGACGAGTCTGCTGCTCTCGGTGGTTTCCCCCCTTTTTTTTCTCTCCTCTAACCCTTTTCCTTTTTTCCACGGCGCTCGCTCTAGGTGGTCGCTATCGCGGCGCTTGGAATTAGCGCGATTTATTCAAATCTGGACGCCTTTAATCGGCCCGATCCTCCGCTCGGTGTCCACCGGTTCGAGAGCCAGCGATTTTTGCTGCGACGGGACAACGATTTCCGCGATATTTCGCGCACGAATTTGTTTATCGCTCGTATTTCATCTTTATACTTAATATAAATATATTATGGGCCCGAGCCCACTGGACTGCATTTTCTGGAGAAAAAAAGCACCAGAACGTCGTTGAAAGAATTTCGACGAATGGTTCGCGGCGAAAAATGTAGTTGCGTCGACACGGTGTTAGTCAGCAGTTGCGATATCCAGGGGCGGCGGACGCGGACGGTTTCGTAGCTAGGGTTCGCGAACTACTTTACCTCGATAGGGGGGCGAAGTGGTAGTCCTCGCGACAAACAATGTACTCTCTTGCTCGCACGTCGCGGGGCTCGTTTAATAAAAATTGCTTGGCCAGCAGAAACCTCGGTCTAGTAGAGTAGAGTCTCTCCGAGGCGGTCGAAGGGTTATTAAAAACAAACGAATCAGCGGATCCGTTTTCCACGCTAATAAACTTCAGGTATTCCACGAGTATATCGACGTTTTATAAATCGCCCTATCGATCTATCGCGTTGCCCCCCCCTCCCCCTCCGGGGGGATAAGAAGCGTCATTTCGAGAAAGGCCGGTCAAGAGAGATTGGAGCAACGTTCGACTTTCGCGACGCCCGGTTTCCTCCTCGTTTTTCGAACGCGAAAAGAAGTTGAAAGCTGCGAAGCACGGAATTGCACTTTTAATCCGGCCGCGTGTCAGAAAACTGTCCTCGCGAGTTCCGAAAATTCTCGAGACAGCCCGGCCAAAGAGGATAGTCGAGATTTTCGGTAAGAAACGGTCGGCGCACGGTAAACACCGCGGAGCTGCTAAGTTTCTTCTCGTCGACGCGGAGCTCCGACAGCTTTCGGGGCCAACATCCATCGGAGACTTTAGTGCGCCGAGGAGAAGTTTCTCCGCAAATTGACTTCGCGTTCGATAAGCGCGTCGATACCTTGGCCCGGCCGCGTTCGCGTAGGCGTTGTTCCTTGACCCGCGAGCGAAAAGAAAAGAAAATCGCTGGCTTTGTTCCTCGCGCGCGGTGGAGGCCGTCGGCCGAAGCCGAACAGGAGAAACAAGGCAATCGGCTGCGAACAGGAACGACGTGGCGTCGTCCATATCGCGGTTCAATTTTCGCAGAGAGAGAAAGAGAGAGATTTTCCAGTTTCGCGAGCGAAACTCGCGTTAAAGAGGCTCGATAAATTACCGCGGCAGGTGTTCCGGGCGTTCGGAGACGAATTTCTAGGTAGCCCGAAACAACGCGCGCGAAACGGGAAAAGACGGGTCTTTTTCTTCGCCGGAAATCGCACTCGAGGCAGCAGCAAAGAAGTATCCGGCGATCGCTTATCGATGCCTGCAATTTTTCAAGCTTCGCATTCGTCGAGAACCGAATTTTTCAACTTTTCAATAGCGCGAGCTGCCGACTCCTCGGATCGGTCTACGAACGAAGCTTCCGAAGCTTCGCGCTTTCGATTCTCCGAGCTCCCTTCGGCACCCCGAGCTCCCAATTCTTCGAATCCGGGTGACAACGTTTTCGCGAGCAAAGCGAAAGCCGGCCGTTCGCTTGGACGATCGACGACAAGGATTTTTAGACCAATGCCAGCGGTCCGTCCGGAACTTTGATTCGCGAGCAGAAGAAGATAGAATAACGCGGCCTATTCACCGGAAAGTTTGGCCAGAATTTACAACTGCGCCGACGAGTTGGGCTCGCAGAGTAAACGCCGCGGCAGCGTGTACCGTCGAACGAACGTTTCGCGACGCGTCCTCCGCGAAGTAACTTCTCTGTTGCGAGTACACGTAACGCACGGAAGACTAACGAAGCCCTTAAGCATATCGGAACAGCAGAAGCAGCAGGAGCAGCTGCGTCGCTGGCAAAAGCGAGGCCAGAAGCGGTACCAAAAGCGAGAGCAAAAGCGGGAGCATTATAAGCAGGCGTCTCGGCCTCGGAGACGTTGTTCCTCGAGTTCCCCGGTGATCATTAGCAAACAATTTATCGTATCGCACGGCGAAGATCGGTGGAAAGCCCCGACGAGAATCGATATTCAATTACGGAGCATCGCGGCCGCGGCTTCGCTCCGCTCGCCTCGGTTCGGGCTCGGCTCGGCTCGGCACCGCGCGACGACGAAACCACGATAAGATGCGACCGAGAATCCGCTTTCGAGATAGAAATATCGACACACGGCTGGAAAATGAGCTGGCGACCGCGGAATGCGAGAGAGGCAACGTTCTGTGTCCTCCCTGATATTCGAACGGCGCGGGGTCGGCGTAACGGGCCGCAGAAACCCCGCCCCTCATTGTTTATACTTCCGAAAAGCCCGACCGACGCGGACCGCCGCGATTGTTCCGCCAAAATCGAGTGCAGTCGAACGGCATTTTAATCACCGGCACAACGCTGTCTGCTCTAACGCGATAAACTTACCGAATGGAAGCCCGGCCCGATAGAAACTTCCCAAATAGAAATTGTTCCGCGCTATCGTCCGACCGAGTCGCCGATGTCCCAGCACGGCGACCAACGAATAAATGCTCTCGAACCGGGTACGGTAACGTCTCCCTAACCGACGCTCAGATTCGGCACAAAAATGGAGAATTTGGAAAGAGGAGATGCGATTATTCGCGCCTTGCGGTTCGTTTTTATAATTACGAATCGTGTCAAGAACTATAAAAACAAGCTGCAAATGCTCGACACAATCGTATCTCCTCTTCCCAAATTGTCCGTTTCTGTGGACAATCCGAGCGTCGATTGGAGAGACGTTGCTGTACTCTCGCGGATCATTAGATTTCCCGGTCGCGAAAGACCGTTCAAACGATCGAAGAAAGAACAAAGTTTTTCTTTCAATTAACGCACTGAAATGTTTACTTTGCAGAAGAACCTGGAGAAGACTTCTTGGTATCTACGGACCGTCGACGTCGATCCTCGGACCACCTAACGAAGCAACAACGTCGACGCAAGTTTACCCGAGTCTTAGGATCCGCAAGAACAATCGACGTCCGTCCTCCGTCAACAACCTAAAAGCGGTCGTCGAGCTCGTCGAGCACCGAAGACCGATAGTTCCCCCGTGAAACGAGCAACCCTTCTAAACGGTGCACACGCGGTTTACGTATCAGAGACGTCGTTCGATTAACATTAGATTGCACTTGGCGAGAGCGTCGGTCCAGGTAGACCGAGGTTCGTTTCATCCAGGCCGCGTGTATCGCCGAGCCTCGGGTTTAGGAATTTACGATTAAGCCCGTTGTCGAGTCGAATCGAATCGAATCGAATCGAATCGCGGCCCGTCGAAAACGCTATAACCGCGTGCCTCGGGTCTAATCGATAGTTCTTGTTTGGATTTAACGTGCCGCCCTTCCACCCTTTTACCCTTCCTCCCCGCCCCGTCCGACCGCGCAAACGAACCCCGATGTTTGGCCGTTAGTTTATTTATTCGGCCGCGCTCGAACCACTTTCTCGTTCGCGGCTAATTCGCGACTCCGTGAATCGAGATCTATTAATTTTCGTCGGCGTCTTCTCGTCGCCGAGGTCTCTCTCTCTCTCTCTCTCTGCTTTCGTTTGTCAAAATCTCGGCACAATTTTCGGAGAAGAAAACTCCCAGAATTGCTGCTCGGAAATAGTTGAGGAAGAGGACCAGTCTCGTTCGTACATTCGTGTTAATAAATAAATTCGCGCTCGCGTTCTTCAACGCGGAACTCGTAGATTCGCTTCTCGTTTAGAGCTTCGTTCTCTCGGGAAGGGAACGTTGCAAGCGGACGCAAAGGAGCGAGGATCGAGCGCAGCCGAACGATCGCTAGATATTAAGACGAATTAATTGTCCATCGCAGCAACGTGCCGATGTAAACTATTATAGAAAGCAACGCAATCGCGAATTGAATTGCTCCTATAAATTATTTGTCTCGCGCGGCTGTAAGAACGCTCCGCGAACGCGTAGAATCGGGATCGTCGATCAATCGATGATTCGAGTGTTCTTTAATTAGAAAATTCTCTTCCGCTGTACTCGGGGAGCAGTGGATACAGCCAGAGAAACGAGCGATGCGTCGCGGGCGGCGCTAATTAGCGGCCGGTCATTAACAAAACACGGTAACCGTGGAACCGATGCGGTGGCTTATCATTATTAATTATCGTCCGTCAACGACGGATCCCGGCTCCCTTTTTTTCTGCCCGATAACGCCGAAACGGTAAACAAAAGGGACGATAAAAAAGCGCATCAAAGAATCCGGTTTACGGTGGATAATTCCTCGGGTAAGAACCGCGATCGATAATCGATCGTTGCCGGCAATAATGGTAGCGGGGCACGCCGATCTATATTGTCGTTAATCACCCGCTAATTAACGGCACGGTAATTGCTCGCGAGGCGTCTCGCTCGTGCACGCGCGCTCGCGAGCGTTCGCGAGCGTTCGCGAGCTCATCTGGCGCGGAATTAAAAATTCGAAAAGAACGGACAAACCGAGCGCGAAGTCGAATTACAAAGAAATTGTTTTTACGACGATTATTCCGGCGGTCCCGCGAACGACGCGACACCGTGATCAGGAACTAATTACTTGAGGCTAACGAGCGCGAGCGTCCTCGTTAATTATACAGGTGTCGTTAATTATTGCCGCGCGCGCGCGCGCGCGCTCGTTAACATTGTTGCGTTATCGAAAAGAAACAGGACGGACCAGGGAAGAAACATTTTACGTGGAAACGCGTCGATTTGCAACCGGTGCGTAATTCTGCTCGATGATCGACGACGGTTTCGCGAAACACAGACGGTGTTTCGGTCGACGATCGGGTCCGTCGACGGCCGACGGCCGACGAGAGATCTGGCAATTTTCTGAAGCGGACAACGCACAGTTTTTTTTGTTACGCTCGAGCAGTCGTTTCCGCGCGTTCTCTGTAATCACTAGCTCGAATTAAATATTCCGCAGCTTTTCGTTTCGTTTCGTTTCGTTTCGAAACCGCGGACGCGTTCGAATCCGGAAAAATTAGTTAAAAATCCGTGACGGGGAAGGTTCGCGCGGCGCGTTCGTTTAATTAATCTATGAACGCGTTCGTTAAAAAATACACCGGAGAAATTAATTAAAACCGGAGGGGGACAGAATGAGATGAAACGAACGTGTGGCGGCCGACTAATGAGCCGAGCGAAATTATTAATATAATGTACTCTAGCCGTGAAACGAATAAAGATAATTAATCGTAGCAAAGAAGATAAATCGGGCAGCGAAGCGATGGCCGAACGTCTGAAATTGATAATCGATCCCGTCGATTTCTACCTCGGTTAGAGCGTAACGAAATAGAGATCGACGGGAAAAACGGAACGGGAGCCCGGCCCGGTTACAGCGCAGAGAGAGACAGAGAGAGAGAGAGAGAGAGAGAGAGAACGGTCACAAAGGAAATTGAAGTGGAAAGTGTTTCGCTTAAAATCCTGTAATGAAAACGTCATCCATTGAATTCCAACGCGGCGGCAGCAGCGCGTCGGCTGCATTATCGACAAATCGAATCTTATTTATTATTCGAACGACGTCGATCCCATAGCGAATTTCGTCCGACTATCGGGCTTCGGTGATCTAATCTCGAACGGCCTCGTTAGCGCGAACAGTTTTTTCCGCCGGTGTCGCTGTCAAAGGAATCCCGATCCGCGCGCGGAAAAAAAGCGACGAACGTCGATCCACCGAATTTGCAGAAGGGTTGATCAACGCGACGCGGAGAAACGGTTTACGAAAAAACTGCAAACACGTTTTTCCCCCGTGCTTCTCTCCTCGCGCCGAGACATTTTTCATCCCGAATTTTGCTCTCGACCTCGAATATTTCCCTTCGCGCCCGGGTCTCGTCGAATTGTCGATCTACAGCAATGTCTCTTATGTTATATCGATTGTTCGAGGCTTGCAGCTCGTTTTTATATAGTTATAATATTCGTGACTATAAAAATGAACCGCATGGATCGGGCAATCGTATCTACTCTTTCTAAATTGTCCATTTTTGAGCGTCGCGATCCGAGCGTCGATTAGAGAGACATCGTTGTACAGCTTGCCGCGCGTATGCTTCACCCGTTAAACGATCGACCGATACGGGAGAAGGACGAGCGCACCTTGGCGTCGCGAACACCAATTTGCGAGCAAGAAATTTCTTCGAGTTCGTTACAGCTAAGCAGATCCATGAAACTAGGACCAGGATTAAGCATCGTCGCTGCCACCTCTCGCGGCAAACTTTGAAAAATCCCTCGGGCATTTCCCGTCGAGACGAGAAGCTCCCCCATTCGACGTCATTCTCGCGGACACGTTCGCTTAATAAGTCCGGCGATACTTGCTCCGACATCGAGCGTCCTCGATTTCATAAAACTCGATACGCGACTCGAGGAAAGATTTCTTTTAATTGCGTCGTCTCTCGATCGAAGGACGCCTCGCGATCTTCCGAAAGTCGGTTCAACGATACACAGTAATGTCTCCCTGATCGACGCTCGAGCCTCCTCTTCCCAAATTGTCTATTTTTAGTGCTGTCAAAATTTGGGCGACAATTAGGGAGATATTACCGTACTCGGGCGTACTCGAGCTCTTTTCTCCAGAGTTCTTAGAGCCCGCCGGTGCTCCCGGGGCATCGTTGCCTGTGCCAGGGTCAGAGCATCGATCCCGCAGGATTAAGCCGGCAAAGTAGTCGGGAGAGCGACGAGCGGCAAAGCGCGCAGTGGATGGAACGAATGGGAAAAGGAGGAGGTGGTTGGCGGAGGGCGTGGGTGGTCGGGGGAGTTCGGGGGATGGCCGGAGGAAAAGCAAGGTGTTGCCATGACTGGCATTACATTCGCTAATGGGCGGAGAGTGGCATGCCTGGTCCGGGCCAAGTTGTCGAGTACCTACTGCTTCGCGAACTAGCAAGAGCAAGAGCGAGAGCAAGAGAGAGCAGGGGCACGGGCACGAACGTACACACGATCATTAACCCCAATTACGTAGTGCGCACGACGGGTCCGAGTACCACGCTTCGGTCATAATGAGCTATTTGTGTGGCTCGTACGCGAAGAGAGACCGGACCGAGTGAGAGTCGATGATGGCCGTGTGCACGCGTGCGCGAGTGCGCGAGTCCTGCACCCTCTCTCTGTGCGCATTCCGCGCCTCGCACCCTGCGCCCTGCGCCCTGCACCGAGAGCGCGACAACGATGCGCGCATCTCTTGCCTCGAGCCGGAGCTGCTTCTTCCGAGTCTTCGGAGCGCAGCTACACGCTTTTGCAAATTCTCGGATAACGACGCGGCATCTTCGCTCGAAGGTCGCGGTCGCGACCGTAAATTGGCTCGTCGTTTGCGCAAAGATCGATCGGAAGGAATCCCATGAAAAATGCTTCGCGCCGCTCTCTCTCTCTCTCTCTCTCTCTCCCATTGGAACTTTTACGACCGTGGGGCCGGTATAAAATAGGGTGTTTCAGAGTGTAAAGTTTAGGCTTTCTTCGAGACACGAGGGACGAAGCACCTCGTGCAAAAATTCGAAGAACGTCGAACATCGACGTTCGCTCGCGCCGTCGTTGCAACCGCAGGTTCTTCTCAAAAAAGAAAGAGAAAATGGCGGTCGAAGCTGAGGGACGCGAATCCGGTTGGAGCACAGGCTGTTTAGAGTAGAGATTTGGGTGGCCGTTTCGAACAGAGCCGCAGAGCCTGATCGAGCAGGGAGCGCGAGAATAATGTCAGCGTACAACCACAGGCTACCGGAAACGTCGAGTTCGAGATATCGAAGAGAAACGAATAATTCCTTGCTGCTATTACAAAGCTCTCCATATACGCGGCAACTTGTTCTTTTCAACCGCGTCTCCGTCGTTAAATGCCGACGCGCCTCGTAGACAGATTTCCGGTTGTCCCCGGTTTCTCGGACGGCGAACGATGTTTCTCCTTCGATCGGGAGATCGGGTCCTCGACGAGCAGAGACGAGGAGTTCGCTTATTCCTTTATCCCGCGGAATAAACATCGAATAAATAACGACAAGCTCTTCAGGGTCGGGTCGAAGGCTTCTCCGTTCCTCCGCTCGGACGACCGAGCGAAGCGGGAGACGGCGATTCCGTCGCGTGAAAAACGAGACTCTCGATCGATAATCCGGCGTGTCTCGAGTACGGGACCGATCAAGAATGCGCGCGGACTTCTTAACGACGACGGACGAGAATGGACGGGAGTGGACGGAGCGCGACGGAATCGATAATGTCTTTATCAGGCGGCGACGAGAGGCGCGAGACGAGGGACGACCGTGCGGAGACCGGTTCCCCGTTGCCGAGCCTCGAGCCATCGGGCTCGAAATCGTTGGGCGGCCGTGATCGCGAGAATCGCCGATCCATCGGTCGCCTTCTAATCGATTCTTTGCCCGGCCGTTTCGTCGACGCGTTTCGCTCCGGGTTTAGAGCTTCTAGACGGTCGCGAATCGAATTACAGTAACGTGTCTCCCTAATCGACGCTGAGATTGTCCGCTCGGATTGTCTATAAAGATGGACGATTCGAGAAGAGGAGATACGATTGTACGAGCCTTGCGGCTCGTTTCTATAATTGTTGGAAATCGGTAACTATAGAAACAAGTAGTCGCGAGGCTCGAATTCGCAAGGCTCCTCTTCCCAAATTGCCCATTTTTATGCAGAATCTGAGCGTCGATTAGGGAGACGTTACCGTAATCGGTCTCGGTCCACGGCCGAGTTTACGAATGAAATTATTTTCGGGCCACGATCGGAACGAACCCCGTTCGGGACTCGATCGACTTACTTGTTCCGGGCCGACGAGCCGCGACGCCGCATTGTACTCACCTGTAACAGAAAAATAACGAAATTTTTTAACAACTTCTCGCGAAACCGCGAACGCGATTACGAGTCAACAATTATCTCGGTCAATTTCGAGGACGACGTTCGTCTCCCGCGTGCGGCGAAATGCCGCGTTTTCCTATTAGAAACGCAATTTTCTCTTTAAAATAGTTCCGCCGGCCGGCGAGGAGCATCGCGGACACCTTTCTTCGTTCCATCTCTTTTCGCAGCTCCGCGCCGCGTTTCCGTCGGAATTGCGGTCGAGACGCGCCGGCAGAAAAATCCGAGAATTTCACGGGCGTTGGGAGAACGGCGCGCGCGTTACAAGATTCGTCGCGGAAAGCGTTGCACGGCGACGCGCGGTCAAATTAGAGCCGCGTTTCGCTGGAAACCGTGGAAACCGTAAAACCGCGGCTGCAGCGGAGCCCGGGTCTTATCGCCGGGAACGTTTTACGATTTCAACGGAACGTCAGCTTCCGATATGGACGCGCGCGAGCTACGATCGAACGCGCGCGGCGCGAGTATCTGTAATCTTCGCGTTCGCGTCGCCGGAAACCGGCCAATAATCTCCTAATCTCCTTCGAGACCGTCCGATCGGCTGCTTTTCTATCGACGGTCGCTTCGACGCCGCGTCGAAAACATTTTCCAACCGGAAAGAGTTAATCGGTCCGGTCGCAAAATCGATCGCTTCGCCCTCCGAACTCGTCTTCCTCGCGCAGCCGTTTCAGCCGCGAGGATTAATTTTCGGTGTAGGACGCGAATCGCGGAGAGCGCCATTACGTCGGAATTAAACGTAATTGTCTCGTTAGTCGGTCGGACCGTTCGTTCGGAAAAGAAAGTCCCACCAGAATTTACTCTCGTCGCTTCTCGTCGCAAGTAGGACACCGTCGCCGACGCCGACGCGGCGGCTGCCGCCGGTTTTCCCGTAGCAATTGTCTCCGGATTCGTGCTATTAAGTTTCAACGGATTTTCAACGACCGATCGAGAGTGGCATGAGCGAACGACGGTTCGTTGCTGTTGTCGCGACGGAAGGTTTTCATCGGAGCTGCGACGAACAAAGGAGGAACGAGCGATCGGAAGCGGCAGCCCGTATCGGGATTACGGGTTCTTGGCGAAACGATCGCGCGCAACCATACCGGGAATGTATCACTACGTTATTAACAGGATCGGACCGACGCGTGTCCCCGAGCGTTAAATATTAACCGCGTTTTCCGACGCTCGTCGATGGGACGATGCCAGCATATCGCCGCCGGGATAGCGCGCGCGATCGGGATCGCGACTCTGTTTTCGATGCGGCGATCCGCCGGATCGCGTATTCCAGATGCTCGTGAATCTATCACGAGGATATCAGGGCTCGGGTTTGCCTCGGAAGGGAGATCGTGGTACACCGTGATTTCCTTCGGTCCGATAACCGGAAAGCAAACCGACGGAAACTCTCGTCTTG